GGAAGTTTGGGCTATCCTAGTGATAAGCTTATGAGCAAAGCTGTCTTGTATATCGAGCTCGCTTGCTGCTTTAGCTGCAGCCACTCCATGCGCAAACGTCCTTCCAGCAATCTCGTCTTTGGCAATCCACATGTAATTCGATACAGCAATAAAATTGAGCAGCAGCATGTTTGGGTGGTGCTTTTCGATGAAGCTGCGCATCCTGTTGGGAAAATCCCATGTAAACGCTCGGTGATTGTATGTCTGATGCTGCTTCCCTTTGTCACATGCATTGCACTCCAAACATTCTGGCCCAGCAGTTCCCACCAACTTTGCAATGGCTGCCCAGTCGACACACGATCTTGGATCCAGTTGTTTTACTTCAGCCGACATGTATGTGTGGATCCTCAGCCTCATGTGGACCAGTAATGTGGTTAATCGTGTGAACGCGAGTTATACATGGTACTAGAAAACGACCAACCTGCTCAACAGCAGCCATAAAATCAAAGCTATTGCCGCGTTCGTGAAGGTGAGCCAGTCAAGCGGGCTCTGTATCTGTACCTGTATCATCTGTCCAGGTGTTCGTTTCCGACCCAGCTTGTTCCATGTCCAACATCCCACCAACCACTTCAGTATTGACCATGCGTAACACCCCATCCGCATTGACTATTTCGCTTCCATGGGTCGCAGCCACATTTCGACTGGAGGATCGAGAGTCCCATCCACGCAGAGGTTGTATGGGACGTAGTCTGCGTTGATGAACTGTGAAGTCTATAGGTAGATAGGGATCTGCTGAAAGTGCCAAGGAAAGAAAGACACGGCCTATGTGAAATACGAAATGCTCATTTATACATAGCGGCATGTTGTTTCTGATTTCTGGACGAGCGTGAGATGCTTACTGATTCGCAATTGTCGTATTCGTTGCAGAGCAGCACTGCCCTTTGTAGCATCAATGTTTTAGCTGGTTTAGTAGAGCATAAAAGATAAACCCTATGCCATAGGAAAGACGTTAGTTCTACATAGATTCGCATATAGTACCTATTCACTACAAGACTATCGTTTCATCCACAGTTATGCTGACTGCGTGACGATTAAATATGTTCTAATTTATTGAAGGTGATCGTTTAACTTTTCTCAGCATATTGTGCCATTTCCTGCAGCATTGCAATGAGCTTTTCGTTCCGAGGATCGATGCACAATGTACCCAATCAATCCGCCCATTGGAGGAAGACGTGTATTCCATCAGCTTGCTAGTTTCTTCCTGTGTCCACCATTCGAAAAAGTATTTGTCGGCTTTCTAGCAAGTATGCTGCGGATAAATCGTAGCGGGACATCAAATTTGTTTGCCATCTGTGTTGCAGTCTCCCCATTGGCAGCCATCTGGGCAACAAGGTCTATGTTTTCGTATCCCTTGAACTTGTCTTGATAGAACTTGTGAGAATCAATATACCCCTGAATAGTACAATGAAATGATGCCGCTGGGATGCTAGGAAACGCCAGTTTGACTGTAGTTGGCATATCCCTGCATGGAATTATCCCGACAAACGCATCCACTAATGCCCGTATATCCTTCCTGTGCTGGTCCGAAATCGTGTTGCCTGCGTTACGTCGCTGTAGACAAGAAAACTTCCCTGATATGTGTCGACTAGTCAGCAATGGTGACACATACTGCGCGATTTCTTTGTTGGAGCATCCTCGGGTTCTTATTTCCTTCACTTTAGTGACCAGCTCGTTTGTCCATTTGAACGGACCATGTGTCCGTCGGTACATATCAATGCAGTCCTCCTGAAAAATCCACAGATGAATAGATACTGCAGTGAAGTTGGCTTCAGCTGTTGTGGATACTGGTTGTTGATAAAGTCGCGCATCCGGTTAGGAAGATCCCATGTATGCGTTTGGTGATCGTACGTCCAATGCTGCTTCCCTTCGTCATACATGTTACACTCCATGCACTCCAATTCAGTAGCACCGACAAATTTAGCCACGAGTTCCCAATCGATATCCGTACCCGATTCGGCTGGTATCAGGTCCCTTGGAAAGGCTTATGTTTGCGCTGTGCAATGAGAATGTTTGGAAAGCTATGGTACAATTACAACACTAACAACATGGTGGGTCACAGCAAAAAAACTGGAATATACTAAAATAGGCTATTATTTTAAATACAGGGACTTTCTAAGAACGCTCAGCTAGCAAGTTGTGTATCCTTAGTGAATCCAAAAGACCTGTGCGTTGGCTGAAGCGAAAGCAACGACGGCAATTGCGAGGATAGTCGAGTAGGTGTTCATTTGTTATATATTGAGCTGGCTAGGTATTAGAGGACTGTAGGTATCTGGTGAGCCAACAAGTCCCTGGGGCTGCCTGCCTTTTATATGGGCAGAGGCTGATGCTATTATCCTTGCAATATACGAGGTCTTTGTAAAACTGTAATTGCGTCAATTGATTGCATGTATATCAGTCTATTAAGGTTCAGAAACGCATTTGCAAAGGCCAATAAACCAGAGTACATATCCCCCAATTGCATATATGCCTATTGTGCCAATAGAGATCTGCATGGGTTTATGGACTGTTCACGTCTTTTGATTCAGTTCAGAAATGAAAGTAAGGTTGGAGGGCAGGGGAATATGTTCGATGTGCTTTCAGCCCCTCCAATTAAAAATGGTCTGACGGGCATCTTGGTCCAAGTCTCAGTGAGGAATTGAACAGTCTTATTCCGTCAATTGAATGAGCACCGGGATTACAAGGAGGTTCCACACAAGCTGGCACGCTGAAGCATGGCCCGCATGATGGCATTGGTGGTGATCGAAGGACTTTTGCAAAGACAATTTTATTGTTTCATACAGTGGTTGCAGCCATGTGGGAACAATGTTAGTCAGAGCAGATTTATTGTCTCCAATCCGTACATAGCTGATCTTTCCCTGGAGCGGTATAGCGGTGTACCTGCTGTCAGCACCGGTGATAAGGTAATTCCAGTCAGTGATTGCAACTGATTTCTCTTATGTTGACTTCACAGGATATTGCCGAACTTCATAGTGTAAGTGATAGTATTATGTTTGTAAAGCCGTTTAGCACAGCATCCAGCGCTCCCAATTTGCTTCGACATGGTGATAACCTGATATGGTCCTCCTGCATCTCTGCACCTTCCTTAACTGTATTTTACAGGCATCACAATTGCTAGGCTTGGACTTCAGATGAGTCGTCCCATCCATTGCACGTTCTTCACAAGTTTTCCCAACCGATAGGATGCTGATGAGGGACACTGAGTAAAGCACTTTGTTTTTGCAGCTACCTAGTCGGTACAGAAACGCACTCAAAAACACTCCGAGTCGCAACCCCATCTGGTCATAGGTTGGTTTGTATTCCATTCAACGATGACAGGTGTGGCATTAGCAAAAAAACAACTACGCCAGTGTTTGGTGCTCTTGTATCAGTATTGGAGACACACCGCACCATTGTCGGCTTACCAGATCAAAGAGCATATGTTTGAAGAGCGCTGAGATGGGCAGTAACTGGTGTTGGGGGCCGAGTCTCACAACAATGGCAGATCCCGCCCACGCGGTATGCGCTTGCATATATAACCGGCCTGGTTAGGAAAAAGCTGGCATTGTGTGAAGTCTGCAGCTCCTGATTTCGGCTCAGAAACAATTACAAAATGGCAGGCATCACCGGCCGGAAGGGCACTGTGGCAGTTCCTCCCTAACCCTGGAACTCTGGTGCTGCAACCCCAGGCCCTTGCCGAGTATAAAAGAAGCCCTAGGGAACACTGCTTCCCGGCGACGGACACATCAACAGATAACAAAATACTCCCTCCCGCTCCTCATGCTTACTTCTTAACACTCAACATCAAATTGGCCATACTGTATCCTCGTCAAGATGGCCGAGTGATCGCTATGATATAAAACACTCGCGCATGTCGCACCCCTGCTCATCTATTCCCGCAGACGAGTCATCCGACAAAAAAACTTCCAGTGCACATTTCAGCACACCGAATCTCCGTACCAGCATGTTAACGCCAAGACTGCTTCGCTGAAGGTGGCCGATATACTCCCACATGGGCTACTTTCATATGGATAGTATGTAGGTAGTGGACAATACGATTGCCAGACCGCGTACCATCCAAGATGATCTGGATATGCGGCAAGAGGGTGCTTTGGTTTTGATGACAGTGTGCATGCCAGAACAACTGCTCGTATATGATCAGGGCCTTTGATGAGTATGCACCAGACGGGCCTATTCCGGGCTGCAACGGTCACTAGACTGTTTGCTGTTGATATATTGTATTAGATCATGGACACCATGTAGATGTATATATTTTATTTTCAAAACCCAAGGACGAACTACTGATATGCAAATGAGAGATTTGCTCCAGACATTGGTTCATTGATAGCGATGGTAGACCAAGCTCTATACCAACTAGTGCGCAACAATGCCGTGCATCCTGCTTTTCTGCTGTGTTGCTACATAGTATATCTGTTTAAGTTGTGCTATGCCGTTGTTCCTTGGAACCGAGTATAAAATCTAGAGCACAAGCGCTTGGGAACCCTGTGGACAGGGTATTGGTATCATTCAATAACGAGCTGAATCAATCGGAGGAAATCAATGTATCTTTTCCAACAGGAAACGAATAGCAAAGAGTTAACCTTGTCCTGAAAGACCGTGCTGATGGGGGTAGCCATGCCGCTGCTCCATCAATGAAGGGGCTTAAAATTCTTGCACGCATAAAGAACAAGAGAGTGCATGTCTGCAAAGACAAAAGGAGGATATGCAAAAGAAATCGGTCTATCACAACCCACATATAGCTGCTCAGCAACAAGGGGCCAGCTTTTAGAAGAGCTGCTAGATGCAGCACGCAATTAGGAATAAATGGCCATCAAGGCTCATGATTCTTTCTTTGTGGTCCCTTTGTGCAAAATATGGAAGTTTATAGCGCTGACCGTTTAAAGAAGGAGGCAATCCGATTATGAGCACATTTGCGCAAAGAGCTAATGGGTTGTGCCTGATCAGCATCACTTGCTAGAAGCAGTGCGGAGATGAATCAAGGAAGTGGTGCCTTTTAGCTCTCTACGGGTGCCAGGCACATATGCCAAGCTCAAATAATAGCCATCCAAATACTAGTAATTCGAGTGTAAGAGACAAAGAGTCACATTGCACTATTCACGACAAACTGCAGCCTAAAAAGGCGTGCGTGCATAGGTCAGCTGAGCGGGTTGGAGGAGCCGAAGCCCGGCAGTTCAACCTGCACAGGCTCCGTCTCAGCTGACACACAGCGTCTGCCTCCTGACGGGTCCTTCATTCCGAGATCATGCCCTGGAGCATGCGTCCAAAGTGCATCGCATAGTAGTAGGGATGTTGAATAGGCAGGTTTTTATTTTGTTGGCGGGGTTATGTGAAGACTTTTGAGTCAAGCAGGAGAAGCTATTTACGGAGGGGCTAGTCTTTTTTAGGGGCGAGGGTGGGTGTAGGGGAAACGGAGAGTGCTGATAAGACGCAGTGTAGGAAGCAGATAGCGAGGTACTTAGCTCTCGCAGTCCCGGAAGTGGTTGCGTAGTTCAGTGCGCAGGTCAAAGCAGGATCCGCAGTTCGCGCAGCGATAGCACATGGTTCAAAGTATACGAGTCGGAGCGACGAAGGTGTCAGACTAAAAAAGAGGGCTATGGTTAAAAAGAGGGGAGATAAAGTGATTGTTGTAGCTGAATAGGAATGGAGAATACCGCAAAAGCACAGACAGGGGAAGACACCCTTGTTTTTATATGTGCTGGACAACCACGCCAGGCACATACAGCCACAGGTCTGTTCAGCAGCCTGCCAACCACAGCACCGCACTGGCATGTGGGGTTCAGTAAAGTCGGCCTCGAAAGGTCAGAATGTTTTTTGCGAAGGCTGGCGTGCAAGAGTGCTTGTTTTCTTCTGAAATCCCGAATCATGCCTAGTGAGAAAAGGTGGCACAGCAAAATCTCGGATACAGCGGAACGGAATCGCTCGACTACGTGGGCATATAACTCGGCTGCTTTTGGTTATATTTGCTATGATTCAAAAATAAATTGGCATCTGCGGATTCCATTGGCTGTGTTCCCAAAAAGTACATATTGGCCAAGGTACACCGCATGCCCATAGGCATATAAGGACCTTGCATTAATTGCTTGGGGAGCATCAAATTAGAACCTCAATGGAGGTTCGAGGTTGTCCTTTCTGCAGTGTGAGAGTTAATGAGAATTCTTATGCACCTGGAGTGCAGCAGTTGATATGCAAACCGGAAGAGACCACCGTGTCTGGGTGAGGTCGGCATCAACGATTTTCATCCAGGCCGTCGCTGGCGGACCCAAACCCACAACCAGGAGGTATCCCAGGCGCAAGCACGTGGATTGTACGACCGACCAATGGCAATGGACCATGTCGAGCAGCCAAAAAAAAAAAAGCTGGTGTGAGCAAGATGCTGTGCCAGTTGTGCTTCTCAGCTCTTTCAGGTCCCGAATTTTCTTGCTACTCTTCGCACACACAAAACCTAGACGATGGTACGGCACATTATGGCGGAATGCACTGGGGACAAAGGCAGCGGTCAGGCAATTGGAGGGTGATACTGATAGACCTTTGTAAACCTTGTAGTCAGCGCTGTTCAAGTTCCAGTCGCTGCTGCTGGTGATTCTGCTGACAATCTGCACATGCACATACCTCCGGGCGCAGGCACCGGCGCTGATCGACCGCAACAAGAAGGGATTCACAGGGCTGCTGTGGAAGGCGGCGCGGATAGGTAAGGCATTTAACAGCAAAACACGCTCCAGGCTTGTGGCAGGCAGGCATCGTAAGACTGACTCCCTTTTTCCCTTATATTTTGTAGGCGAGCGCCTCAGTCCGTACGTGTCGCTGGCATGTATTGTGATGGCAGTGCAGTTGATTTTGTACTAAGTTTATAGGAAAATAAAAGCGCGTTGTTCAACTATCTAGACTAAAGCAGGCCGTTCTTGCTGGCCTGGATCAATTCCTCCAAGACGGCAGTTGACATGACGTCGAGGTCGCGTGCAGCGGCAGCGCGGTCGTTGGATGGGCTGCGGACCTCCAGGTAGTACTTGAGCTTGGGCTCAGTGCCGGACGTGCGCATGGTGAGGCGGCCGCCATTACGGGTCTCGAAGGTGATCATATGGGCGCCGTGGTCGACAGGGAAGGTCGGGACGAACTGGTCCTCGGCAACACTGATTTTGACGTCCTGGGTGTCGACGTCGCGCATCTCAAATCCAACAGTCAGATCGCGGATATAGCTGACTGGGAAGCCACCGATGGACTTTGGGTACCGCAGGACATCGGTAGCGCGGGCAAGCTCGGTGCGCTCGACATCGCCGGATTCGGGCTGGGTTGGGCCAAAGCGGATGCGCGAAAAGATCTCAGTGGTCTTCTTTGGATCGTTGCTGATGACATACGAATTGCCCGACACAAAGAAGCCGTACTTGGCATACTGGTCCTCCAGGTAGTCGTGGACACGGCGGCCCTGCTTGTGCAGGCGCGCTGCCAGCTGCACGAACACTCCCATGGCCGTCACACCGTCCTTGTCCAGCACCTGGTCGTGGATCATGTAGCCAATGGCCTCTTCGTACCCGAAACCCACGAAGTACCCGTCCTTTTGCAGCGCCGCGAGCTCGTTGGCCATCCACTTGAAGCCAGTCAGCGTGTCGGCGTACTTGAACCCCTCTTTGGCCGCCATGACCTCGAGCATGCGCGATGACACTGTGCTGTTGACCATGGCCAGCTTCTCGGTCGGCACTTGGTCAGCACGTGCCATCTCTAGCACAGCAGCGGCAAAAATAGACCCGAGCTGGTCGCCAGTGAACGAGTGCCAAGTGCCGTCGGCCTGCTTCTCCGCAGCCGCGAACCGGTCGGCATCGGGATCGTTGGCCACTACCAGCTCAATGCCCTGCGTGTCAGCCAAGGCCTTGGCCATGTCCAGCGCGCCCTTCTCTTCGGGGTTCGGGAACGACACAGTTGGGAAGTCCGGGTCAGCAGCGATCTGCTCCGGCACCGCAACGTACGGCGGCAGGCCAAAGGTGTCCAGGATACGTGCAGCAAACGGCGCACCGACACCATGCATGGCTGTATACACATACCGCAGTTCTGTGGCTGCGTTAGCCGCACGGTCCGCAACAAGGTGTTCAGCGGCCTTAAAGTACTCGTTCATCATGCGCTCTGTGACGTCGTCGACCTTTGGGTCATTCTCGACTCCCTCGACACTCCAGTTGCGCGGCTCGCTGTGTTGCTGGATGCTGCGGGCGATGCCGACGTCCAGGGGCGGCTTGATCTGGGCTCCGTTCTCCCAGTACACCTTGTAACCGTTGTCGTCCTTGGGGTTGTGCGACGCCGTCACCATGACTCCACATGCGGCCTTCAGGAACTTCACCGCAAACGGCACCTCGGGCGTCAGACCGATGCCCGGGTAGAAATACACGCGGTAGCCAGCATCCAGGAACGCACGCACCGTGAGCCGCGCAAACACGTCCGAGTTGTACCGGTGGTCGTGGCCCACCACCACGCCGCGCTCACACGCTCCAGGGACGTTCTCGGCCACATATGCCGCCAGGCCCTGTGAGGCCGTGATCACTGTCAGCTGGTTCAGCCGCGAGTACCCCGCCTCCATGCGTGCGCGCAGACCGGCTGTGCCGAACTCGATCGGGTGACGCAGCAGGGCCTCCAGGGCCTCCGTGTCGTTGGCATCGGCGAGCGCCTGGATCTGGGCACGCGTCTTTGGATCCTAAGCGTAGAAAGAGGTCGTATTAGGCACGAGAATCGGCGAGGTGCAGGGTGTATCCTGGAGTTCCTTACCTTGTCCTGAGACAGCCAGCGCTCAACAAGCGTCGAAATGGGTTCAGCAGCAGAAGACATTCTAAAGCGGAAAGTGCGTATAAGTGGATCAAAAAAAAAAATGGATGGTCTGAGACTGAGAAAGGTGAAGAGCGCTGTCGCACGAGTGCACGCTCTAGATGGTGATCCACGGGAGCGGCAATTTCTGACCAAGACCCTTTGCTCGAGTGCATTGATTCAAAACAGATTAAATCTGATCACTTGTATTCTGGCTTTGTCAGCCATCTCGCTGGAAGCGGGCAGCGATGCAGCACATCAGCTACGATTTCTTCGCAGCACAGATGCTTACCATCCAACCACACCGATCCGGCTCTGTGCAAGTGAACCTAGCGGCACTCACTGCGTCCAACACAGAAGTTTCATATACAACTCTTCTTGCTTACCCCTACTGACACAGCCAGTCTATATTGCCAGGGCCACAGGTCTCGAGCGCTGTGACATGCTACATTCATCCGCATACCAATGCGTTCTGCTTAGAGCCAATTTGGTATTTCGCTTTGTTGGAATATGTTACATACGATATTAATTTGTCACTTTCTCGCTCACTTCTTGAGGTGGATGTACTTGAAAGAGCCCTTGGGAACAGTCCGCGTGCCGTACTGGTGGCGCTTGTAGTTGTACTCCTCAATCGTGACGCTGTTGCCCGAGACCTTGGCCACCCACACCACATGCCCGTACCTGCTGCCGCTGTCCGTCTGGCCCACAGCTCCCGGCTTCGGCGTGTTGTTCACAGTGACGCCGGAGGCACGCGCCGCGTCGTCCCACTGGTTGGCGTTACCCCATGCCTTGCCCTTGTAGCGGTTGTGGAAGTTGATGCCCAGGCGCGAGTTGATGCGCCAGGCGACAAAGCTGACACACTGGCATGAATAGTACCGCCACTTGTCGACGATGTCGCACCTTCCCTTGTACGGGTAATCGTCCTTCATCGGGCCCGCGCCGCCAGTGCTCGGCTTGTCGTCCGGCTTTGGCTTGCTGGGCGCAGGACACTTCTTGGCCACATAACCGTTGCCCGTGTCGACGTAGTAGTCGCTCACGTAGCAGCCGTGCTGCGTCTTGTCCCAGAGGTCGTTGCCGTTGACCTTTGTGCCTGGCGTCTGGCACGAGAGCGTCACTTGAGCTCCCTTCTTGTATGTGCGCACGACATTGCTTGAGGTTCCCGGACCCGAGCGGCAGTTGACCGTGTCGCCCTTGATGGCGTAGCCGCAGATGAGCTGGGAAGTAGTAGCGAGTAGAAGTGCGGCAATTGCGACGAATTTCATTTTTAAGAGTATGTAATTGTGGTTTTTTTTGGTTGTGATATGGTTTAAATGGGGTTTGAACAGGACATCCAGCGGGTTTATATACAAATCTCCAACCTACACTTGACGAAACTATTTTTAGTGAAATTCTTGTAAGTAGCAATAGCATGTTTAGCGGCCAAGCACACATAACGCATCTGTTGTTGTCAATATGCAACTTTATTCTAGAAATCTCTCTATCAGCATTTTCTAGATTAATGCTAATAAGAATACTACGACGGTAGTGCAGTTTCAAGAGAGATTGGAATGCATCTATTTTTGGCAAATGCGCTAACGCGTACCAGAATTGTTTGTCAAGATATTGAAGACTTCAACCGACTCCTGATATATTTTTAGGTCATGCAACCCAGCATATCCATGCATGCTTATATACAAACTGCTCAGCATCCCCACAACACCAATACCCAAGCGATGAATCTATTTTTAGATGGTATGTGTCTGCATAACCATGCACGCTTACATGAGATTTGCCTGGAATTTGCTCTATGTGATTTGTGCTTGCCAATTTATTTTTAGATACTCGCTCAAGCAGGCAGTTCCTTGAACAAGTTCTGGCTGTTGTAAGCAGGTTATCAAAGGTTGCTAGACCGTCGTTTATTTTTAGCACCAGCAGTACATGTGGTGCATTGATTCCTGCTCTATGGTGGCTACACCTTTCAGCAACACATGTCAAACCGTAAACAGATGGCATGTACACCCATCTGCTAATTTTAGGACATTCTGCCACACAAGTAAAACCAGGACTGCGCACTTCATATTTGAATCTCGAAATTTCTTGCATATATAAGGGATATGTTGCAGCCAGCTTCCATCGACCCATCAACAACAACAACAACAACACTTTCCACTCCTTCTCCAAC